CATCCACCCTCCCTTCCCCTGTCCCTGGCACCGGGCCTGGCATACCATGAGTGCCCAGCGAGGATTTGTCAAATTACATCCAGCATAGCTGCAGACACCAAATCCCATCTGTTCACTGACCACATACAGAAAACATTTGACTGCTTTCTGGGGTTTCGGTAGAAGTAACTTCTTCAGTCGCTTTTTGTATCCCTGGAATGGAATCAAGCTTGGCTCCTAACTCACAGCCTTTGTAAAGCCAACTTTTCTTTTCCAGCTAATGCCAAAAGGAAAACTAAGCAAGAGCTTTGGAGCAGGTACAGCATAAATGTATAAAGCAAAGCAGATAAAGACAGGAAAATGAGGGGGCTGGAGTACACTTAAAAGTGTTCATTGCTCATTTCCTTTGCCCACAGCTGGACAACGGAAAGTGGTTACATGAAAATTAAATTGTGCTGAGGGCTTTGCTTGTCAGCCTCAATAAATGTCTCTTACAGAGAGACACTCCTGTACCATCCTAGCCTGCAGAGTGCATTGTAGAAGGCTTTGGGGATCCTCAAAGGGTTTGCAAATCATCTACTTTTTGCTTGAAAATTCCTTCAAAGAAGGAGACCCCTACTTTTTAATAAAATCTGTTATGGTTCATGTAAATGAGGCAAAGTTAAAAAAAAAAATCCTCTGTTTTTGTTCTCTTGCTAAGATATTGAGTCATAAAACCAAGAAGCCTGCTAATTTTAAAGAGTGCTGGATTGGGTTTTCCACTGATTATGTTGCTATTGATTCAAACAGCCACAGTCTCTAGGAACATTTTCAGAGCACTGGCATTAGCAGTGTTGAAATGAAATGTGGGCTGAGCTAATGAACCCTCCTGCTTAGAAAGCATTGTAGACTGCGCTGCCATGGGGGGCACTGGGTTTGAGGACTGAACACAACTCTGTGGAGTCAGAGCTCAGGCATCGGTCAGTGTCCTGAGACCAAGCCTTTCAACTCTTGAGGGAAGCTTGTCTGAGTCTGAGTCAATTCAACAAGTGTTTGATTTGATTTTTTTCCTTCCTAGAATATAGCCTGTTAAAAGAACTCGATTAAGGACCCTGGAATTCTTATTTTTCAGTTTGGAGATAAAGACTTCCAAGGTAGTCATTTGCTTTCTCCTGGCAAATGCTCTCACAGCATGAGGTTAGCAAACTGGTCCACAGGTTAGCCAAATCTGATCTGCTGCTACTTTTTGTATGCCTATATAACAGGTTTTTACATGCTTCAATGACTGAAAATAAAATCAAAAGAGTACAGTTTCAAGACATGTGAAAATCAAATGAATCAAATTGCCTGCTTTTTCAATTTCCACAAATAATGCTATATTGGGACACAGATATAGTATTCGTGTAGGCATCCTCTGTGGCTGTTTTCATGCTACCATGAAACAGAGACCTAAAGTCCAGCAGAAAAGGTCTGCTGCCCCCTGGTGTACAGGAATGGAAAGCATTGCTCCCCACCAGGGGCCCTTTCCCTGGGGGGGAGGGGGGAGGGGCATGTCGCAAGGTGCAGCCCTTGTTACTGGCAAGAGATAGTTGATGTAACCCTTTGCTTGATAGGAAGGTAGACCCAAAGAGAAAGTGGTAGTCCAAAGAGATTCCACTGAAATTAGATTTTTGGTATCTAGATAACCTCGGTGAGATTTATGGCATCTGATTAAATCTATTGAATAAATACTTAGTAGCCTTTAAGACAGACCTGTAACTAGTTAATTGTTTTGCTTCTCTGGGGTAACGCCTGTCCTGGCCTTTTCCAATCTCAACCTCTTCTTCATCTTCCTGCCTGTGACCTGAGTTACTTGAGAGGTTTTAGCCTAGCTCTTTTCAAGCTCTGGAGAGCAGAGTCTAGTCATCAGCTTAGTAAGACAAATACTGGACTGGCCTGTGGCCAAACTGGTCACTTGTTCCTCTCTGACATGAGCCCACATTTGCCTGAATGCCGATGTCTGGACGAGAGGTCACAGGTTGTCCAGGCCACCTGGGAACTTTTGGTTACATGATGCCAGCCACACGGAGGCTGGAAAACATTTGCTGATTAATGACACATTTCACTTGTGGTCAGAGTAGTTTGTGGAGGGCAAATTATATTACCCATCACTCACTGGGATACTTCCTGAAGCTTCAGCCTCTTTTAAATACCTGCCCCTGTGCTCCCATAGTAAGAATCAGTATTGGCATCGTGGTTAAAGCACTCCGCTTTAACAGTTCTACTCTGCTGTTCAGGGTCCCTATGAGTCCGAAGTAACTGAATGACAGTGGCTTGGTTTTGGTTGGTCCCCATTTTATTCTCACCCACTGGTAGGGCATCGGGAACATGGTAAATTCCTGCTGATGCAATGTTCTGTTGTTGTTGTTAAGTGCTGTCGAGTCGGTTCCGACCCATAGCGACCCTGTACAGGGTTTCCGAGGGTGTAAATCTTTACGGGAGTAGAAAGCCTGATCTTTCTCCCACGGAGCAGCTGGTAGTTTCGAACCGCTGACCTTAAGGTTCACAGCCCGATTCGTAACCACTACGCTACCAGAGCTCCTCATATTTTGAGCTGGCATGCAAAGTATGACCTCACAACATGAGTTGAGGAAAAGGACTCTTTGTGATGATTTTTACCACGGCTCCTCTACAGATCAGTACAGTCATTAAAGGCCTTCTCAGATGATTTCTCATTGTTGTCCTAGCCAAGTGCCATTCTCACTTGTTTTTCTCCCTCTCCCCACCCCAAAGTTCTCCAAATATTTCATAATGCTCCAAACAACTCCCTCACCATCAGTAAGCAATACAGTATCAGTCAGACAAAGGGCACAAGGGACGTGTTTCCCACCCCAACCAAACCAAAAAGACTACACAGAGAGACAGCACTCTCATAAATACTCAACTTAAAAAATTTAAAATCCAAATCGAATTCAAAAAGAACTGATTTGAAACATGTAAAGTGTTCATTTTACTGCCATGATTTCTGAAGAATATAATCAGCTCTTAAATGCCCAGCTCAAGAAGATTTTTATTTAAATCCTACAGAGTTTGTTCTTGTAGACTAGCAGACACAGCTGATCTTTTTTAAAAGGCTATTTGCTTGGGAGATTATATTTCCAGTCAGTGATTATAAACTCCACACCTCTCCTAGAGTTTTCCCCCAAGAAGGGAAAGTCAGAGCAGAGTTGGGTTTATAAATGTGTCCCGCTGGTTCCTGTGACTCTCATCTCTCTCCCGCTTCCTTTTTTTCTATATAATTTCTGAGTATTTGCTCTCCATCTGCCCAACTCTCTGAGTGGAACAGATCTCACTCCCCTTTTTGCTTTTCACACAGCTGCTGGGAGAGTGCTTAGCACATACTAGGTACTCCGCCGTTCCTGGCAGGTGCATGTGTGTATATAAGTAGAATCAGGGTGGTGAGCAGAAGTGGAAGGTGGGGACTCCAGGCCATATCTCTGAATGAATGACTCTGAGGAGACACTGAATCTCTGAGTCTGAGTTTACTCATCATAAAACTAACAGAGTTCCCAACAACCTCACAGGGTTATTGTCAGGCTCCAAGGAAGAACCAGTAGTAAAAAACACTCTGTTGTTGTTAAATGCTGTCAATTTGGTTCCAAGTCATAGCGATCCTGCATAGGTTTCCAAGGCTGTAAATCTTTACGGGAGCAGAAAGCCTCATCTTTCTCCCTCAGAGTAGCTGGTAGATTTGAACTGCTGATCTTGAAGGTAGCAGCCTGACTCATAACCACTATGCCACCAGAGCTCCTAAAAAACATCTTACGATATGGGAGAAGCTGCGTAAAGTGGTTCTCCCAAATAAGAAGATTGCAAAGACCTGCCATGGTCCTCACTGAGTGGAGTCTGTCCGGAAGGCATTGACGACTCTCCCTCATTTCTTAAACCCTCTCTGTTTTGATGACAGAGTGACAAGAATGCACAGATTGGGAACTTTCTTTTTAACCTGAATGTCACGTTGACCAGGGACCAGCCCCAATGGGGTGGACTTGGGGCAGGAATGGCAGGATGGAGCAGACTGTGTAGACCAAAGGCAAGGAGGACTCCAAGATGATTCCAGAGCCACATGGAAATCCTGAAACAGCCTTAATTCTTGCAAGCTAGGCTCTTGGTCACAAAAGATCACAGACCAGTTACTATAGCAACAATTCTCATCATAAGGTGTCCATGTTAGGACAAAGATGGAAAAGATTTCCTTATTAAAAAAGAAGAAAGAAAGAAATTAGGTCTTGGATATATTTGCCCTCCAACCAAAGGGTTGCTCCTTTTATGCAAAGAAGAAGAAAAAGCTGTTATCGCAAATAGGCTTCTAATTCCTAGCAGTGAAATTTCCAAACTTTCATTTTAGACTCAGAACAGTTCACGCTTGACTTCTGAAACATCTGAGAGGAATGTATTTCCTCAAGAGGAAAAATAATGTAAAATAAGAGAGAAGGAACCATGAAATTAGGCCGTGAAGTCTTGCTAACCTACAGCCACCATCCTATCTGGGAGAGAGCCCAGCTGCCTCCACCTTTTGCCCTCACCTGCACCCTTATGAAGCCCAGCTGTGTTGTATCATCAGCCCTTCTTCTGGTACCTTGGCCAGCGCTTGTGTGGAATACGTCCTGGGTCTCATGATTCCCTATGGGGAGTGCATCCAGTTGATTAGGCTGCCTAACTCAGATAGTTTGACTACGGACCAGGCGCTGTTGTGGCCAAAGACCTATTCTTGGTTTCTGACTTTTCGTGGAAGCCTATGTGGCCTCAGAAAAGAGCAAAAGAAGTATGCGCATGCGCGTGGGAACCTTTTCCTGTAAATTAACTTTGCCTGAACAACGGCTTTCCTATTGAGTGTGAAGTAATAAGATCTTGTTCAGTGCAGTTGAGTCAGTTCCAAACCATAGCGACCCTGTATAGGGTTTCTGAGGAGCAGCTGGTGAACCTGAGCCACTGACATTTCGGTTCAAACTGACTTTGCAGTCCGCCGCATTAACCCACAGTACCACACCAGGACTCCATTGAAGACCTTAAGTGTGTGAAATGCAACCACCCTCCCTTTATAAAGCAAACTGGAGGAGCAGCGTAAGGAGAACCTGCTGGTCTGTGTGGAGGGAGACGATTCAGTCAGATGCACGCACAGTGAATTGGAACCCAAGGGCCGAGGGCACACTGAGACCAGGGGAGGTAAGTGACAGAAAGGCCGGAGCTCTCCCCTGCTGAAAAGAGCAAAGGCAGAACTCTGCAATTGGGTGACAGGACCCTGGGTGAGCCCGGGGCAGAAGTGGGGGCTATAGGATGAAGTCTAGCCTAAAGTCTCCACTGCTGCTGCTGCTGCTGAGCTTCATAGGACCGACCCAGGGCAGGGACATGAGGCGTTCCTAGGGAGTGAAGGATGTGCTCTAGGAGGCTGGGGCAGGCCTTCCAGACCTGTGATAGAAACCAGAGGCGACGTGTGATAGACTCGGGCAGACACTGGGTTGGGGTTTACAAAACAGACACATGGGCTGAGCACAGACAGCTGGGGCACTAATAGGGGAGGGTGGAGTCATCCCACTCCAGCTGGGCTTGCCTGACTCCACTCTGCCCATGTCTGCCTCGGCCCATCTCTTCCTCCTCCTCCTCGTCTTCACTGTCGTCTGAGTCGCTGCTGCTGGAGCTCATGTCTTCCTCTACTTCCTCCTCCTCCTCGTCTTCAGTGTCATGCTCTCCACGCCCTGGTTCTTCGTGTTTCTGGATTTCAGGGAGAGAAGGAACAAGCACATGCATCAGCAGAGCAGAGGGCACTTGGGAGTTTATGTTTCTGGTACCATTAAGGGACCTTTCTGGTCACTTTATAAGGTTTTCATAGAAGTGACTTCTCTGGTGAAAGGGAAGTCAGAGGTTAAAAACTAAGACTTCACAGCAGAGAATTCCAAGACAGGCTCAAGACCAAATGTCCTATGTTTGAAACAAGAGACATTGAAATCAATCCCGCCTGTTATTTGGTGACCCTTTCAGGCTAAAGTGAGGTTTTTTTTTGGACTTTCTAGTTTATTTGCATGAAGTTTTCCAAGTCTGAGACTCCCTGGGAGTACAAAAGGTTAGCGCGCTTGGTTGTGAACCAAAAGGTTGGTGGTTTGAGGTCACCCAGAAGTACCTCAGAAGAAAGGCCTGGCAATCCACCCCCCCCAAATAAAGAACCATGATTGGTTTTGTTTTGTTCCCTCTCCCCACCCTCTCAGATCTAAATGTTAGCTTTCCAGTGAGAGAATGACAGGCTTGTACCCCTCTCCAGGTGGGAATGTAAGGTCCCTGGGAGCAAAAGATCTTTTAAGTCAAGACTTACTGTGTGCTGCCACTTAAATATTTGCTGGGGAAAGGAAAGGCTTATGGCCCTCATTCTCCATGCCGGTCCCTCACTTCCGGTCTTGTGCTCTCAAACTCTCCCCCACTCTTCTCTCCTCACATTCCTTCCTTCCCCTGGCTTACTGGTGACTGAGACCCTTTCCCAGTTCTGAGTTGGTGAACTAGGCCATCAGTGAGGTGTGCCCTCACTGTGTTTCATCTCCTCCCTGGAATGCTTTCTTTTCTACCTCTGGCATTCCCAAATCCTACCCATTCTGTGAGGTCTCACTTGGGCCACTCTCTTCTGAGGACTCATTCCTGAACACTCCAGCCCCGTAGGGCTCTGCTGGCTGGTTATGCCACCAGGTGAGCCCTTAGTACACACACACTGTCTTGCCTTGTCCTCAGACTGCTGCTGGTGTAGTGGTCTTGTTTCCCACACTCTTGTTTCTCACACACCCAGCACCCATAGGTAGGTCCAAGGGCATGATATAAGTGGCTTCCCTTAGGGTTCCACATGTGTAGGGCAGAGGCTTTGAACAACCATAGATAGCTTCTGTGGGCTAACTGAAAGGATATGAGTTTAACGAAAGACCATCTTGAGTTTGAGTGTTGGCTCTGCCCTGAGCAGTTGTGTAATTGAGTGATTGACTTCCCATCTGTGAGCGGGTTCTCGCATTGGTACATGAGGATGATAAGTACACCTTCACAGGTTGTTGGGAAGATGAAAACAGGTGGCGTATAGAGAGCACCTTGTCCAGTGTTTGGCATAAAGGGTGCTCAGTAGATGGCAAGTACTGTGTTTTATTTTGTATTGTTTTCATTTTTTTTTAACTTATTCTAAGCCTTGAAGTGAACTCTGCAGGCATTTTTGGAGCAAAGTCATCCCATTTATACTTAGTTCATCAAGAATTTAATACTGAATTCTTAAATGTGATTTAGCTCTGAGTAAAATATTATATAAGAGGCAAGGGCTAGATACCACTTGACCACTAGCCTTTAGACATTTCTGGATCTTTGTGGGATGTGAGCAAATCACTTTTTTTTTTTTTTTTTTAAATCAATGAATGTAGGTGGTAGGATAGTATGGTCCCTTCAAGTTGAAAGGGTTGGAGGATCTCAGAGAAGGGAAAACCCAGTGGGGCTGGGATCATTGGGGCAGGGCTTCCAGAACCAATCAGGCTTAGTCTAAGGCTGGGCTGCAAACACAGGAAGGACTGAACTGAATGGAGGTGGAGGCATCCCTGCTCTGAGCTCCCCAGCCCTTGCGGGAGGCTTACCTCCATGGGGTTGACGGTAATAGTCAATGCAGAGTCATCCCAATCCATTTCAGCCTCCTTGGCAGCCTCGGTCTCCTGAATGAAGTGCTGGTGGGCAATCCGGATGCGGTACACACCCATGGCCACAACAAACACGAGCATGCACACAGAAATGATGATGACCACCGTGGCAATGCTTGGGACCACTGAAACGAGGAAGGAACCTCTCATGGCATGTGAACCAAGATCTAGCTCATTCTTGGACAGGAGCGCAAATGCAAGAGTATTTATGCATAGGTTAAAATCTCCCCCACCTTTCCTGACTGGAGTACTCTAGGCTAGCAGATTAGTCTGTCTGGGCTTCGCTTGCATCGTCTCTGTGAAGCACTTCCTAATTTCTATCCCATGGCTATTTGTGAGGAGTAAATGAAATAATCTCTGTGACTTTCCAAGTTCATGAATAGACACACAAAGGGTGCTCAAAAAATGCTAGTTCTCTTCTGTCTCTTTCTCTTACATTATAGTGGAGCATTCATCAAAACCCAGACACGATGGCGCTTACTCAGGATGGACACAATGTCCAAAAGACAGTGACACTATGTCAAATGGTCCCATAGAAGTATGGGTAGGGGCTTCCCAGTCTGGTGTGCATGCTGTGCCTGACTGTGCGGAAGGAGTTCAGAGAAACCTTCATACAGGATGTAGCTTTGAGTTAGGCTGACAGGCCTAGAAGTGTGTCCCAGTCCTTTGTACCAAGCTCTGCTGTTCCATGCTGTAGGTAATTTCTTCCTTACTTGTCTGGTTCTACTGAAGCTGGGATACAATTTTCTCTGTCACTGGATTCCCTCCCTTGGTAACAGGCACCCATGGCTGCTGCAGCACAGCTGTGTTTACTGGACCGTCCTGAGTGACAGTGGCCACCTGGTGTCCTGAGGTCACTCCTCCCAGGTGTCCTACCTGAGCTGCGCCGGATGCTGCTCCGAGACTCAGGGTGATGGACAGACTGGAGGAAGGGAGGCTGCACGATAAGGTGGTTGACATGCTCCTTGTCTGAGACTTTGACCTCATGAAGGACAGTGACCTGGGAAGATCAGGGGGAGGTGTTGTTAACCAGGAGTGTCAGGTGGGCCCAGTTGCAGGAGCCCTACAAGTGACTGAGGGCATGCACAGGCAAGCTGGGCTGCCCTGACAATGGCAGCACTTACTCACCTCAAGGTTGAACTCATTGCTGGTGTAACGCCCATTGAGTTCGGAGCACTTGATCCGGAACCGCCGGGCCTCAAGAGTTGCTGGATGCCAATTTCGGTAGCGGATATGGTGTAACACCTGCTCATAGCGACTCATGGAGCCCACACCTGTGCCAAAAGACTAGCCCTGTCACCAGGAGGTGGAGGAGGCAGAAAAGGAGCCAGCAGAGCAAGACTTGGGCCTACGAACCTCCTAGTGTGGCACTGTAGGCTAAGCACTGGACTGTGAGTCACCAGATGGGTGGTTCAAACCCACCAGGTACTCCTCGGAAACCCTGTACAAGGTCGCTATAAGTCAGAATTGACTTGGTAGCACTTAACAGCAATAGCAAATACATCATAGGTAAGAGCTTGAGTTGTTCACAGCCAGAAAGTGTGCAAACAAAACCCACTGCCATCAAGTCAACTCCAACTCAAAGGGAACCCTGTATAGGGTTGCCAGGGGTATAAACCTTTATGGAAGCAGAAAGCCTCTTCTTTCTCCCGCAGAGAAGCTGGTGGATTTGAATTGCAGACCCTGTGGTGAGCAGTCCAGGGATCACCCTACTGCACCATCAGACCTCCTAGACAATGTTCAGAAACAGAAATTGGAAGGAGTCAATTAAACCCACCCACAACATGGCCGTACAAACAGACTGAGCTCTGATCAGAATGTTTGGCCTCAATGTGTTAAATACTGCTATCACAGTTTCTGAGATAAAATGTTATAAGAGAAGGCATCCGCGTAGTTCTACAGATTTGCTCAGGAAATGAGATGTGGAACAGGTCTCTAATACACTGGCTCTCCAGACTGTGCTCATCAAAAGAGGGTTGAGAAATGTATGCTCTACAGTCAAGAGTTCCAAGCTGACCTCTGGGGCTACTCAGTGCATCTCCATGGGTGACAGAGTTGTCATCATCCTCTTGACTCCTTGGAAAGAGGCATTCTGAGAAGAAGCCACTGTGCACAGGTGCCCAGAACAGACTTACCATAGATGGAGTAGCCTGCCGTGGAGTTGGTGGCATCCAGGTGTCGCTGGTGGAGTTCACTGTGGCTAAGCTCCAAGCACTCATGTCTTGGGTCCAAGTCCCCTCCAAGCACCAAAATATCACAGAAATCTAAGTTGTGAAGCATTTCTTCTAAGACTGTGGATTTGGGGGCTGTGGGGTGACAGATGCATAGGAAAACATAGGCATTAGTAGAAAGTCATCATCTTCCTGTCTCTTATTGTGCCATCGGTTGGGGCTGGGTGATTCTACATATCACCTCCACAGCTAGGCTGTGGTGCCAAAGCGTCTACTGTTAGTGCTACTGTGGCCTGAGACTATGTTCGGCAGCCCCCCGAATTAGTGGAAAGGGCACGGACACTCTGATCAAGCACATGTGAACTGATATGCCAGCTCTGCTACTGAGAAGCTGTTGTTATGTGCCGTGGAGTCAATTCCAACTCATAGCAACCCTATTCAGGGTTTCCAAGGAGCAGCTAGTGGGTTTAAACTGCTAACCTTGTGGTTTGTAGTCCAGTGCTGATCCTACTGTATCATGTTAGAAAAACTACCTACCACTTACTTTCCTCATCCATTAAGAGGGCAAGAATTTGAGAGGACTGAAAATAGTATCTGGCACACAGGAGTTCAATCAGCAATAGCTTATTTGAGGGGCAGAGATAAGTACCTCTCCACCATGTTCCTGTAGCTTTCTCCATGGGATCTGTGTGTGTGTGTGTGTGTTTGTGTATGTGTGTGTGTCCTACCAGACTCAGACCCTGCAGGGCAGAAGAACCATCTTATTATGACTGAGTCCTCTGTCTGTCCCAGGGACTGGCATGGAGCAGTAACTAATACATATTGCTTAAATGGAGTTAGATTTGTAACATGTTTAAATAATTAAGGAAATATGTTCCCTGGGATGCACATTAGCAAACTGGTCAGTATAGTTGTCCTTGACTGATTTTTGAGACTCCAAATTCCACCATGCAATATATAAATGTTTGAATGATGTACAGAGGTTGACAGTCTTCAATTGAAATCCCAATTTACATAGACGTGATTTGTATTTATGGAGTGCTTAGATGAGTGCTTATGGAGTCCTGGTGTGGTGCTATAGGATAAGGTTGGTTTGAACCTCAGTGTTGGCAGTTCAAACATGCCATCCATGGCTTGGAAACCCTGTGCAGGATTGCTATTAGTGGGACCCGACTCGACGGTACTTAACAACTTACGTGAGTCAGTGTCAACATGATCCCAATACACATTAAACCTGGTTGTCATGAGTCAGTCTGATTGATGGTGACTTGTGTATGTGTCCGAGTAGAACGGTGTGTTTCTCAAGGGCTGACTGTTTGGAGAAAAGCCATTAGGCCTTTCTCCTAAGATGCCCCTGAGTGGATTCTAACCCTGTTAACCACTTGTACCACCTAAGGACTCCAACAAACACTGACTAGGGTGCTATCATTATCCCCGCTTCACCAATGAGAAAACAAAATGTTAACGGGATGAGTGAGGTCTCATAGGCACTGAGATAGTAAGTAAAATAGCAGGATAGCACCCATGTTGTTCTGACTCTTAACCTCTGAGCCAGGGGTCTTCAAGTGCCGTTGACCTCGTACCTCTGTATTGAAAGATTTGTGAACCTAGGCTTTTGACATAAGTATATTTATTTATAACATATACACAAGGTCTCATATATTTTGTGCATTATAAAACATTTACGAGAATTGAAATTTAAACAAGATTCCTTACAGATGAAAAAATATGTTTGAATATATTTTATATTGTTTGATTTCTAAATAGTAAAATGTGTGTGCTCTTTCTAGATATGTATTCTAAATAGTGTTCTGTATGCTTTGTTTTTCAGTGTTTGTTAATTGCAAGGACTCTATGCTATTGTGAGCATAAGTGAAAAGCACAATCATATACACTTAAAAGCAATGCCTATCATTGACCATAGTGTATGTATAGCTCTAGTTCAAATGGTCTCTATTTCCAAACATTTCTAACTCATACTTTTTTGGTCGACTTCTTATCAGGTCAGGTTAGCTCTTGTTTATTTCTGCCCCCAGCCCCACAGGTAGCTGACTGAGAATTCATGCCTCCCAGGGGATGTCTGTTCTTGCTGCTGTATTCTTGCTGTTCTTCTGTGCTTGCACCATTATTGGCAGCCGCAGTCTCCTTGATTCCCACTGTGTGTAAGGGACTGTGCTGGGTCTAGGGTTTCAGAGGTAAATTGACCATGGAACCCTTGGGGAGCTCCTGGTCTGGTTTAGTAAGCAGATCGTCCCTAGCAAGACTAAACCATGTTCTGTGTTAGAGGTAAGGAAGAGCAATTGGGAGCACACAGGGCAGGAGACCTCACCTAGCGGGGTGACTGTGGAGAAGGCCTCCAGAGGAGGAGGTCTTGAAGGTGGAAATGTTTTCAAGCACTGAAGAGGGAGAGGGGGGAGGGACCTTCCAGGCTGAGGGTCTAGCATGGACAAAGGTGTGTGCTAGCACAGAGCTATGAACAGGAATGCCGTGTGCAGGAACTTCCAGACAGTTTGTACTGAAAGAGCATCAAGAATGAGCCATTGAGAGCAGAAGATGATATGGAGGAAGTGACTGAGAGCCGGTGGCAAATGGCCTTAGGTTGTTTGCTGGAGGTGCCATGATAATGATGATTGTAACACTAAGAGCACAATTTAAAGCACTAATGAGAACTACTGGGCACTTGGCTAGGGCCCTGCAGGCACCACTCAGAAACAGACAGTGAAATGGCGACCCAGAGAATTGCTTTACCACCCCCCCACCCCCGTGTACTGGTGTTAGGTGGAGTGGATCCACGTGTGCTGTTACCACCTGCAATCGCTCAGGTTAGAGGTCACAGGACCTCATGCACCAGGACATGTAAGTAGGAAACTGCCCTGCCCAGACAGCTGGTAAAACACCATCTATTTTTCTGCCTTGCTTGGCATCCCATTCACCAGGGAGCAGGGAGGTGAGAAGCCCTTCAGGGTCTCAGGTCCCTGGGCACCAGCACATCATTAGCAGTCACTTTAGGTGAGGGAAGAGTTGAAAGTATTTCTTCTCTTCCAAGAAGCACTAAAGGCCAATTTTCAAACAGATACTTCCCTTTGTCAGTCACAAAGGAAAAGTTTTCCCTTCTTGCCTTCCTGCCTCTCTCCTTCCTTCCTTCCTTCTGGTCTCCCCACTTCCTCTCTCTTTTTGCATCCTCTTTCTTCTGACTTCCTGTCTCCCTCCCACTTCTTCCTTCCCTCCCTCCTCTACCCTACCCTTCCTCCTCTCAGTCTCCCTACCTTCCCTTATTCCTCTCGCTTGCTTGCTTCCTCTCCTCCCTTCATTGCCTTTTTGTCCCCGCCTCCGCTAACAGCATACTATTGTGGATTTCCATGCAACTAAATGTTTCTCCTGGCAGATAATTCCAATTACTTTACTCTTACTGAACACCCTTCCCAATAATGAAACTCTTAGAAATATAGTAACTTAAAAGTTTCCTGGGAGCTTAGAGTACTACTGCTGAAATGAAACCTACCTTTTGCTGTATATAAGATGCAGTTATACATTTTTGTTGTTGTTGTTTGTGCTTCTTCAGCTTTTCTTCTGATAATCAAAATAATGGTCCTTATAGTACATTTTTATAGTTGCAGAAAAGTGGAGGGAAGCAGAGACAAATTGGCTGTCTCATTGTTCCTCGGAGAGTATCATGCATTAGGTATATATGGAAGCCATTTTCCCCCCTTTACACAATGGAGATCATTCTATATGTAGACACTAGTAATTTGGCATCTTGCTTTTTGCACTTAGCATTTAGCACAATGCCTTTCCTCCACCATGAAACACAAGACATGGCTGTGCCATAATTTGCCAAGCCATTCCTCTCCTGAGGATCATTTAGGTTGTGACCAGAGGTTTTTTGGTTTTTTTTTTTAGTTGTTGTTTTCATTACTTTTCTTTTGCCATGGTGACCAGTGAAGTAAGATTTCATAGGACTGTAGGAAATTTAAATTTCACCTTCCCCAGGGCCCTATACACACCTGTACCTGTGGTTTTCAAGTCCCCGGGCGCCTCAGCTTTGGTAAAGGTGCTCACGATCTTGATGTCTGGAAAGAGGATCACCCCTCTGGCACTGTCAAACTGGGTGGCAGGCCTCCAGAAGTGCTCTGTGCCCCGAAGGGTGATGCGGGGTTCGATGGCCTGCAGGACCATCACATAGGCGTCCATGTCCGGGATGCTAATACACACATCTTCCCCAAAGCACCTGGGGAAACAGCCAAGGATGACACTGTCCACTTTCTTGCTGAGGATGCAGTTACCACCTCTAGTCCTTTACTCAGCATCCTGATGGTCTAAAAGTCTCCAAAGATGTCAGAAGACATTCAAATTCAAAGCCACACTGACAGTCTAAACTAGTAATCTAGAGACTTCAAAGATTGGCTCTTAGGATAAATCAGGATCTCCCATATGAGCAACAAGTCACTGTTAAATGTCTAAATATCCTTTAAACAAGTAATCAATGGCTGCATTAATAAGGTAGCAATGGCTTGTTATGTAAATCCATATTTGATAAGCAAATTATGAAGAACCCTGGTAGCATTGTGATTGAAAAACTAGGCTGTGAATCTAAAGTTCTGTTACTAGGAACCAACAGCTCTTCAAAGGCAATCTGCTTCTATAAACATTTACAACCTTGGACACTCTGAGGAATTTCTACTGTGTCCTATATGGTAGCTACGAGTCAGAAGAGACTGGTCAGTCATGGGGTTTTTTGGAAGCATATTATTGCTGGTAGCGTAGTGGTTACGAATCGGGCTGCGAACCTTAAGGTCAGCGGTTCGAAACTACCAGCCGCTCCGCGGGAGAAAGATGAGGCTTTCTACTCCCGTAAGGATTTACACCCTCGGAAACCCTGTACAGGGTCGCTATGGGTCGGAACCGACTCGACGGCACTTAACAACAACAACATTATTGTCTAACTGCCTGGCTGTTTATATTAAGTGCTGAGAATCAGTTCCAATTCTCAGCAACCCTGTACAGAGTTTCTGAGGGTTTGAACCACCAACCTTGGGTTCAGCAGCCCAACACTTATTCTATAGAGTCACAGTAAGACTCCTATCTTAGTAAATGAGACCCCAGGGCAAATCTCTCTTTGTGCAGTTTGTGTGTGATGTTTCTGTTAAGGTCTCACACAAGTGTCCCTATCTCAGGTGTGGGGGGCAAATTGGATTGGAATCATGATCCCTTTAATTGATAAAAACCGAGGAATTGATTCCAACTCATGCTGACCTTGTGTTCATCAGAGTAGGCCTATGTTCTATGGGGTTTTCAGTGATTGATTATTTGGAAGTGGATCACCAAACCTTTCTTGTGAGGTTCCTATGCTGCTACTGAGTACAGTTTAGGCAGTTCCAAGTCACAGTAACCCTGGATAGGGTTTCCGAAGCTGTGACTCTTCACATGAGCAGGAAGCCTTATCTTTCTCCCATGGAGCAGCTGGTGGATTTGAACTCTTGATTCAACACATAATCCACTATCCTACCAGGCCTCCTTGAGGCTCCTTTCTTGTTAAGTGTCGTCTGAGTGGGTTCCAACTCATAGTGATCCTCTAAAGGGTTTCTGAGGAGGGGTACTAAAACACTGCAACCTTTTGAGCATATTAACTGTTTATACCACCCTGGGACTCCTTATCTTGTCGTCTGGTTGCCATTGTATCAGTTCCACTTTCTGAACGTCCTGTGAGTGAGTACGGAGTAGAACTGCTCTGTGGGGTAGCAGAAAGCAGAGCACCAGAGCTGTCTTCCCAGGCATCTCTGGGTGGGTTCCAATTGTCAACCTTTCAGTTAGCAGCTGAGTGCTTAACCATGTGTGCCACCAGGGCTCCTCCTATCCTAATGCTGCTGTTGTGAAGTATCGTCGAGTTGGCTCAGACTCACAGAAATGCTGAATAGGGTTTCTGAGAGCGGTTGGTGAGTTTGAACTGCGGATCTTGTGGTTAGCAGTACAGTGCTTATCCTACAGTGGCATTTGTTGTTATTGTTAAGTGCTGTCTAATCAGTTTTGATAAGTAGTTACCGTATATAGGGTTTCCAAGGACTGCCTGGTGGGTTTGAACCATTGACTTTGTGGTTGGCAGTCTAATGATTATCCTACAGCTCCAAGCCAGAAGTCTGACAGTGTTATTGTTGTTATTAAATGCCCTCAAGTTGGTTCCAACCCATAGAGAACCCTGTAAAGGGTTTCTGAGGAGCAGCTGGTGAACTTGAAGCACCAATCTTGTGCTTCAAACCAACCCTGCAGTCCAGCTCATTAACCTGCAGCACCACACCAGTATGCCTATCTGACTTTAGGACAAGATTTTAATTATCTCTGTGACTATCTGGAAGAATTAAATGCAGATAATGTATAGACAAAAAGTTGAGTCAGGGCCTGGCTCATGGTGTGAGCTCAGTCAGTGCTGGCAGGATCAGACTCCCATTAGCATATGTGCACCTTCCACTCTCTTGCTGGTTGCCTAATTCAAAGTCTATGGCTAAAGTGGGGATCCCAGGGTTCAGACAGTGTTCTGGGAATCTGGGTGGTCTCCAGATGGTGATAATCATCCTCTTGACCGTGTTCCTTGTGGAAATTCCCCAGGGAAGGCTAGTCTTCCTGGGCCCCATGCTGAACCACTCCATCCTCTTCTATAGGGTGGCTAAGATTGTGGGGGTTGCGGTAGGCTTTCGTTCCCAGGTTTCTCTGGGTCTCTGCCATATCAACCTAGATGACTTCTCTTTCCTAATGCGTTAACAAGCCTGGTCTCAACTGGAGACCCTCTCCTTCACTTTACCATAGAGCTGATGAGGAGGTGCTGCTCCTTGGACCCAGAGCTCAGGGGTGACTTCTTCATTGCTCTAGAACTGCTTACTGAATGTGATGACCAGGGGGAAGTCCATTTTCACATCCCTGATCTTCCTTCTCTGAGTTGTTCTCCTGGGTTAGAGCCCTGAGACTGCTGCTGATACCTCCCAGGAGGCCCCCTGCTAGAAGCCCTCCCATGAGCCTGCTGTGGCTGAGAAGGGATATGATAGGCCAGCTAGTGAGTTTGCCAAAGGCTTCTGGAATAATCTCACCTCCTTAATTGAACTCTGCTCTCTGAGGGCAGGATCCAGTCTCTTTATTTTGCATCTCTACTGGATTTAAGAGCTCTAAATAGCTGTGCTGATTAATTTAATTCAATTTAATCAACATTTGTTAAGCACCACTTAAAATCCAGCTCTCAGAGACTTTACAGGAAACAAGACCTTCTAGGCATTAGATTAGATGCATGATAAAACAAAACAAGCAGTATTTATATTGGCAAAACAACATAACATTTTTCAGAAAACACAGATCTGTTGAGCGTTCTTATAGGAAAAGCAGATGACAAATGACAACACAACACAACTCTACTTTGCAATGGAATAACCTTAAGGGACTAGCACTGTTCTGTCCTTTGGGCCCCACGGTGACCACTCACTGGACTTTGGAAGAGACTTTCAGGCGCCGCACACCCGCTGTTGGGAACTGCCTGGAGTTGATGTAGGAGACCTTCTGGAGGGCACGGTTGATGTTCCCAACATCATCACTTTCCATCACCAGGATGGACTGCGAGGGGTTGAAGTGATACTAGAAGACAGTAGAGGTTGGGAATCATGGAGCGAATGAGCAATGATGTACACAATCCCATGAAATCACATTTCCATGAAAAGACCACTAGAGTCACCACCAAACCACAAAATACCAAACCAATTGCCACTGAGTAGATTCCAATTCATGGTTACCCATGTGTGCAGAAGAGAACTGTGCTTCAATGGGTTTTCAAGGTTGTGAGCTTTTAGAAGCTGATCACTAAGCCTTTCTTCAGTGGTGCCTCTGGGTGGGTTCAAACCAGCAATCTTTGATTTAGTGGTTGAGTGCTTAACTACTTGTGCCACCCAGGAACTTCTTAAGACCACCAGAGTCACCTCCAAGGCATGTTAAAGTAAAGCAGTTTGTGCATAGGTGACTGTTTGCCATCCCTCATGCAATTTCTGCTACTCTGGTGAGCTTAAAGGTCCTCCCCTCTGAGGTTGCCCCAGAGATGATCAATTCCTGGTAATATCATCAAAGTCAGAAAACCCAGTCACAGTGCTCTTGCAGCTCAGCCCATGAGGGGTGGTCCATGTACTGTGCAACCTTTGTGGCCCTTACAAGCAACTCTCACCCCTTGGATCACCTCTTCTCTCACCTGACAGCACAGAAACGTAGGGTGTTGGCTCCTTCATTGTTCTTGTCTTTGGTTTTAGACTGGTCCCTCAATTCATTTGTCACTCCACTTGTTGACAGAAGCCCCTTCTTTTTAGCATCTAACCTTAAAACTCATTTTTCATTTCTCCCCAGACCTGATACTTGGTCTGGCTTCCCTGGTGCCAAATTCTGGTTTCTCATGTGTTTTCCTTACCTGCTGTTTACCCGACTGCCGGTGGCCCTAGATTAGTTATGTATTCATTCCATCTGGAGCCCTTGCTACTCTGTATACTCAGTGAGGGTCCATGGGATTCATATGCTCCCAACTGAGTCATCTGGGTCACTGTATGAAGCTAGTCATAGAGTTCTGACTCCCCTGCCTCATCCCTCAGCAGCTACATATCTTTGAATGGAGCAGGAGAATGGCCTCTATAGTGCTCGGAGCTACAGATCTTGGTGCACTTTTGAGCAAAAACTATTAGGAACTGCTACCAATAAGACACTTGGAGCACAGTTATAGATCCTATGTACCCCAAACTCATGGCACAGAAGTAAACATGTAGTTGCATGACCTAAAAATCTACTTGTTTGAGTAGATAATATTTTCATATATGCACATGTACAAGCATACACACAATACATTAATGAAAAGTCTCCATGTTGCCCCCATCTTGCTACTTTGCACAATTCCACCCCACAGGTATTCACTGTGATTAATTTCTTAATGAAAAATTGTATTGTTATAATCAGTTGCTTCCCCTACTGTGGAGGATTTTACATCCCTGGCCTGTTGTCAACAGTCCTGATCATATGACTTGTGGTACCCTTCCTTGCAGCACACACTTTTCTTGCCCTGTAGAACTGAGTAGTGGTCATATAAGTTGCTTATTCAGAGAAATGTGGGCAAAAATATTGTTTGGTTCATATCCATGAGGAAACTTTAAGCCAGTTCATGATTTTTGATGTTCCTTTTCCTCTGTCATGAAAAACCAGTAAAGTTCCTTTAGGTGTTGACCCATCTACTGAAGTCTCACAGTTAGTATGGTATGTTGTTGTTGTTGTTAAGTGTTGTTGAGTCAGTTCTGACCCATAGCTACCTATATAGGGTTTCCAAGGAGTGACTGGTGAGCTTGAACCACCAACTTTGTAGTTCAAACTAACTTTGCAGTCAGCCCATTAACCTACAGCGCTACACCAGGACTCCACACCACACCAGAATGGTATGGTGGTGGTGGTGATGGTTATGTGCTGTGGAGTCGGTTCCAACTCATAGAGATCCTGTAGAGGGTTTCCAAGGCTATAAATCTTTACAGAAGCAGAAAGCCTTATCTTTCTCTGGCAGAACAGCTGGTAGTTTCAAACTGCTGACCTTGAGGTTAGTAGCCCAACTCATAACCACTATGCTACCAGAACTCCTTCCAGGATGGTATAGTCAACCTATAATAGATATGAATTGTAAATAACAAATAAAGCTTAAACCACTGAGATTTTTATGAATGTATGTGTTATTTCATGTTTGCATATATATCTGTAGGATAAATTCCTACAAATGGAATTTTGCTCAAAGACTATTTCACTTATAATTTTGATACAGTTGACAAAGTCCACATTGCTAGGGAATGTGTGTCTGTGAATAATGGGTATTCCAGAACACTTAGTTGTGCTCATGAGGAATTTGTACAAGGACCGAGCCAGCTATTTGAACAGAACACAGTGATACAGCATGGTTGAGAATCAGAAGGTTTGTGTCAGGACTTCCACCATACTTACTCAATCTGTAAACTGAGCAAATACTCTGAGAAACTGGACTATATGATCAATGTAGCATCGGGATTGGAGGAAGACTCATCAACCACCTGTGATATGCAGGTGACACAAACTTGCTTGCTGAAAGTGAAGAGGAATTGAAGCATTTACTGATGAAGATCAAAGCCTTCAGTATGGAATGCACCTCAGCATTGTTGTTGTTGTTGTTAAGTGCCATCGAGTCGGGTCCTCAGCATAGAGAAAACAAAAATTCTTACAACTTGACCAATGTATAAAGTTATGGTAAATGGAGAAGATGTTGAAGTTGTCCAGAATTTCATTTTACTTGGATCCACAATCAAGGCCCATGGAAGCAGGAGTCAGGAAATCAAATCACATGTTTCATTGGGAAAATCTGCTGCAACAGACCTTTTGGAAGCATTTAAAAGCAAAGATGTAACCTTGAAGACTAAGATATGCTTGAACCAAGCCATGGTTTTCCATCACCTTATATGCAGGCTAAAGCTGGACAATAAATAAGGAAAGCCAAAGAATTGATGCCTTTGAATTATGGTGTTGGTGAAGAATAATTAATATACCACAGACTGCCAGAAGAATGAAAAATCTGTCTAGGAAGAAGTACAGCCAGGATGCTCCTTAGAGCCAAGGATGGTGAAACTTCATCCTACATACTTTGGACATTATCAGGAGGGATCAACACCGGGAGAAAGGCATCACATTTGGTTAAGCAAAGAGCCAGTGAAAAAGAAGACCCTCAATGAGATGGACTGTGACTGCAATAAGAGGCTCAAACATAGCAATGATTGTGAAGATGGAGGAAAAGTGGGTGGCATTGCATTCTGTTATACATAAACTTACTATGAGATGAAAGTGACTTGACTGAACCTAGCAACAATAGGGATTTATTAACATAAACTCCCTTTAATAGTATCTTTCCTCTAAACCTCAATGATGGTATATTGTCAGACTTCAAGATGTTTGTCAATCTGATAGATGATAATGCCATCTCAGTATAATTTTAATTTGCATTTCTTTTACCATGAAGGAGACTGGGTATCTTTTTATAAGTTTAAGGAACATTCCATCTATATGAACTTTTCCCTGACGTGACTGGAATATCTTTGTAGGAGTGACCTGTTCTGCATTTGAAATTTGACAAGCAGTAGGTGTCTCATGAGCATTAGTGATGACGTTCAACCACATGACTCTCTAGCATCATGGCCCTTTACCATCTGGGAACTCAATCTTTGACTCCTCAGACTATCACATGAATATTTACCTTTTATCTCTTCCTTGAGGCCTCCCCAGATTCCCTCATTTAGGGCCCAACGGACTGTGAGTCCAGAATCCACTTGATGGCCATGGGCTTGGTTTTGGTTTGGTTCAGACATAGATGCAGTTATCAAATGGTTGTACAATAATTATAATTAAGTGATCATTAACTTGCCAAGGACAGAGACTTACTCTTGTCTCTGAATCCCAGAACCTAGCCCTAGTGCCCTGAAAGCCCCTTTGAGATCAGTGAGTGAATGTTACCTCCTTGACTATATTTTACTCAGTATTATGAACTGCCACTCCCCAAAAGGACTTATTTCCTTTCCTATGTCATTTGTCCTTTCAGTCTGACCCCTGTAGGACTCCTTGTCAGCACTCACAAAACCCTGTCCTCCTTCCTTTCCTGGGAATCCTGGAGACTACATTTCCCAGTTGTTTTTCCAGTGGGTGAAGTCCTATGACTACATCTGACCAATGAAATGTGAAAGGAAGTGATGTGTGACACTTCTGGGCTGAGGCAGTGAAAAGCCCTGTGGAAATATTTTGGCCTCTTTCTTTCTTGACTTTGCAACCAGCAATATTCTATATAGAATTTATACCCCACATTCCTGATTTGCAGTACACATTAAGTGAGAGACAAAACTTTTAAGTGTTAAGCCATAAACATTTTGGAGTTAACCTGTTTCTGCCTGTTTGGTTGAATTCACCACTTCCCATGCCTGATTCTCACTTCTTCAAGGCCATGTGGCATCTTGGGAAGATCATGGCTATCTGAAGTGTGATGGAATACTTATTATGGCCCTTCTAGCCATAGTCTTTTGTAACTCCTATTAAATGACCTGGTGAGACCATGTAAATAGGGTATATGGAACTCTAATGTGGGTATTGGTTACTTTTGCCATCCCCCGTAGATATAAAATGAGTCATTTCAGAAGCATGAACAGGGCTTTCACTACAATCCAGAAGGAAGAGCTAGGAGTACAGCACATCCTTTGGATTCCAAGATTCTTGTGCTGAAACCACCTTGATGTAGGAGACAGAAAGGAGACACCAGAAAACAGTAGAGACATCAGGACCAAGCACATGAGATAGAGTGATGGACTTCCTGGGCATGGAGAAAGAAAAGCTTAGTGCCTTCTGCTAGGAGTCTTTCATATGGAATGGGTTGGATAAACTATGTCTGCTGACCCACTGAGTTACAGCTGAGCTCCTTTAAGCTTTGGCTTACAGTAGAGTAGAGTGCCCTGTGGACATTTATTGGCAGCACTGATTCCTGTGAAGCCATCAACACAGGCCTGACAGCATCAAAACAAACAAAAAGCATCTATCAAATAATTGCTTATTTTTAATTTGTAGTA